TGCCTTTTGTCACAGAAACCTGTCTGTGGGAACGGAGAATGGATGTGAAGCACATGGAGTGGATATAATCATGAGGACTCTGTCACTCTCGGGGATGTGTCTGTGTGGCTCCATCTTGTGGGTGAAAATGAGGATGAGTTCCTTAAGGGAGTATTAACACAGTTTTACCATCTCAAACTTCAGTTCAATTCATTGTGTCGTTTGAGATTACAGGGACAAGCTGATTGACATTTGCCCTTGAAATGTCAGAGCACACAAGGCTATGGGCCAAATGCTGGAAACTGGGACTAGAACAGATAGATGTTTGGTGACTCTCACTGACACGATGGGCCGAATGGTGTTCTTCCACGCTGTAAAAACTCAAAAACGTAGAAACAGATCTACAGTGAAAATGATCACAAATTAAAATGCAAAGGCAGTATCATTTGAGAAAATATATGAACATATTGGTTGTTTTCCCTGGTGGTCTAGTGGTTAGCATTCGGTGCTCACACCATTGTGGCCGACATTCGATTCCTGGTCAAGGAATAGAAGTTCTACTCTGCTAATTTATCGTGGTGACAGTATTTCTGACTGTTTTTTCAGGAGCTGGAAGGTAATCTATTTTATTGCAAACACTATTCAGATTAACATAAAACAAAGAACTGGAAAACCGACACAAAAACAGGAATAGATTGAGAAACTCAGCAGGTCTGACAGCATCGGTGTAGAGAAATAGCGTTAACATTTTGGGTCCAGTGACTGTTTGTAAGTGCAAGGTTTGGTATGAATTTCTATAGCACAATGCCAGAGGAAATTATCAGCTCTGTCTGTTGAATCAACATATTTATCAAATTGCGCTCTCTCATTAGCTGACAACAGTCAACTTTACAACGTGAAAGACATTTCATTGGCTCTAATGCTCCTTCCATTTCCCAGACGTGGTGAAAGTCTCTGATTAAGTGGTTGCCTTTTTCTTTTCTGTTGTGTCAGTTAGCAGCCATGTCAAATGGAGAATTGGCCCTTTCAGTGTCTACCTCAGTATGTATCTCTATTTGTCTCTCTTTGTCTCTGTGTATCCACTTTACCCCCTTTCACATTCTCCGACTCTCCTTCTGTCAAAATCCCTCATTTCCCATTCCTGCTCTGTGTAAAGTCTGAAATTCGGAAATAATTTAAGAGTGGAACTGCAGAGAGGCTTTTGCCCTCTGGCTGGAGTGTCTGGAACTGGGCTCACATTCCCCGGATAATGTGTCTGTCACTTAGGACGGAGGTAATGAAATATTTCTTCTCTCAAAAGATTGTGAATCTTTAGAATTCTAAATAGAATTCTTAATCTACCAGAAAAAAAAACAATTAAAGGATTATAGTGATGTCTTTACTGTTTGGTGTAAAATGAATGAATGGTGACAGCGGAGAATGAGGGTGATCAGCTCGCTCTGTTTGTGCCATTACCACAACGTTCCCCGCTAAGTCTGCAATTTATCCTGCTCACGTCATTATTCTGACCAAACTGGGAATGAAGGGATGAGAATAGAAGATAAGGAGAAGCAGAAGTCCTTGTGAAACAGCAGAAAGGAACTTCATGATGAATCTAGCAGAAAAAGAGAAGACACTGAAGCCGTCTCCTGAGGACAAATGTGTTTTCTTTTCTTTGTTTTCTTTACTAAGCAAGGACCATTGAACTGAAGCAGTGACAGTGGTTATCTTTGCTGGTTGTTCACCTTGTGAATGTTACCACTGCTGCTCATGTCCCCGTCAGCACCACAACACTGCCGCATGTCAGCATTGCACAGGTACTCGTGGCACAATGGATAATGCATCTGACTACAGGTCAGGAGATTGTAGGTTTGACTACCTAGCTCAAGTGTAGTTCGCAATTTCTTTACACTTCCCAACTAATCTTCCTCATTGCCCTGTAACGAAGATGAGCTTTGAATTTCTAATCTGCAGGAATGAGACTCCTTTCGATGTCTCACATAAGTAAATGTTACCGAGAATGTCTTAGTCCCACAAAATTCACATTCAATTTTCCACACCCACTGACCCTGTCACGGCATCCCCCGGGCATGGAAATAAAACAAAACAAAAAATAAAACCAGTCTCAGCTTTGTGAGTCTTTAGAATTTCTTTGGGAAGTGGAATCAGAGGAAAATGAAGGTGAATTTTCCAACTGAGCAGCGGCAGTCGAGGAAGCATCCCCTATTTCAAGAGGCTGGGACATTGACTCTGATGTTCTCAGGGACATTAACTGACCTGAGACTGCTCCGTGTTTGATTTTGTTACTGTCAGGAACAATAAATCCTGATTCCCTGACCAGAAATCGAACCTATTATCCCACTTTCCAACACTTAGCCTGTAGCCTTGTGTGCTCTGATGTTTCACACGTTCATCTCAATGATATTTCCCCTGTAATGTTTTAATCTCAAGTGCCACAAAGAATGGGACTGAGATTTGAGATGGTAAAGTTGTGTTCACACCCCACTCGGGGAACTGAACCTCATTTTCACCCACAGAGGGAAACACACAGGCACATTGTCCCAAGAGTGACGTCAGCCTCAGGAGAGACCAACCCCCAGAAAGCAAGGTTTTTCACCCATCTGGCTTATATCGTCCCATTTTAGACTTCAAAACCAGTGTCTGGTTACAGCAAAGAAAGGAAGCATTCGGCCCCTTCCCTGCTTGTGTTACTCTCCCCATTGTTTCCCTGTTACTCTGCAGCTAATCCTGCCTAACCACATTCTTCCTGCCAAACTGGAACATTGCTCACATCGGCTGTTTTCTGTCCTTTCTGAAAGATCTTCCTCAAGTACCTTGAAGGTCAAACAGGAATGTAGTATTTCAAACGCATTTCTGGCTGGTTGAGGAAATGTCATGGTGGTGTTAACACTGTTTCATCAGAAATAATTTCAAACGACTTTAAAGACCTCCTTTGGTTGGTTCTAGCAGGTGGTGAACATTCTCTCAAGCCCCAGAAACAATCAAACTCCAGACCACTGGGCGAACCACCAAACTACAAAGTCATGCATTAGAAACTGCAATGTAATAGATGACTAGATAGCCTGTGCATCATACACCAAGACAGTGTAAAAAAACTCCATACAGAGCTGAGGGGATCATGTGCAGAAGGATGGGAGAATACAATGCCAAATCAGACTGTGTCCAGGGTGATATGAACAGAGATCTGCCCTGGTAGTCTCGTGATCAGGCTTCAGTGACTTCAATGCTGTGTCCTTTTAATGGTTAACATTTACAGTAATAAATATAAAACACTAACTAATCTTTAGAAGCCGAATTATGTAATAGACCGTTCAGAATTGATTCACTGCATGTTACAGGTCCACATTAGCAATGTCAGCTGCAATTGCCTGACATGCAATCGGTTTAAAACAAGAAAAGAGCGAACATCAAGAAAAGTGAAGGGCAATGGTGGTTTGTGAGAGCTGACTGTAGCCCTAATGGAGCCAGGCCCAATGTGGGTTGTGAAGACAGATTTTCACTGTTTACCCTGGTACATAGATCACTCTGAATCAATCACCCACAATGACTCTCCTTTGTGTGGTTGCCCTTTGCACATCTCACCTCGGTTCAGTGTCCAGAGGGGATCCATGCATGTTAACTTGGCAAATTTTGCAAAGTCAGCTTTACCGTCTCATATTAAGACCATAAACGTTCGGAGCAGAAAGAGACCATTCAGCCCATTCAGTCTGCTCTGCCATTTAATGAGTTTGTGACTGGTATGATAATCCTGAACTGCACTTTCTTGCCTTTCCCCATAACACTTGATACCTTTACTGATTAAAAATCTATCAATCTCACCACTGAATACAGTTAATAACCCAGATCTGACAACCTTCTGCTGCAAGGAATTCCACCAATTCACAACCATCTGAGAGAATGAATGCTTCCTCATCTGTCTTAAATGTGTGACACCTCCCCCCCACCACCACCCCCTCTGATGTTCTGCACTGTGGTGCAAGACTGCTCAGAAGGAAAACTATTTTTTTGTATCCACATGTTGAATCTTCAAGAAACCAGTTTGCTTTAATAAGGAGCAAGTATTTTTGCATTACTGTGTCTGAGTACGTGAAGTCAATGGATTTCAGTGCTTCCTCCTATTTGGTTTCATCCTTGATGTAAAACTTCCACTGATTCTGACATGATTATGTCCCTATTTTGTCTTTTAATGTCAGGAATTCACATTCATTTTAAGTGTTTGGACAGGAACAATAAAGTCCTCATTCCTATTTGGGAATCAAACTGAGAACATAGCAGTTGCAATGCTGATTCTCAAAAAGGAAGGTGTACACAATATTTGCAACTTTTCTTCTTGACACTGATTTTGACCTTTTGTTTCACTTGCAAAATGATAGTGAGATTTTAACACCACGGAGTGAGGCCCTTCAGCCCATTATATCTATGCCTGTCATCAAACATCTCACTTCTCAACCCAGTTTCCAGGCACTTGACCCATCGCCTCATTTGCAATGACTTTTCAAGTGCTCATCCAAATAGTTAGTTTATCTCTTGAGGGCATCAGTGGAACAAAAATACTTTCTTCAATAAATGACATGAAACATTGTTGTTTGCTGCAACATGAAATCTACATTTTCCTCTTTGAGGACAGTTATGAAAGCCAAACTCTTTCTCAGAGCCATTTGCCAGTTTTCTTCATGATGCCAACAGTGTAGATTTAAATCCCACACCACCTGAGGTTGCCGCTAATGACTGTCCCCTTTCAACCGCTCTGCTGACATGAGATGTGGTATCCTTCAGGTCAAACCACCACCAGTTTTGTCTCTCTAATAAGAAAGCAGCCCTATGACCCAGAATGTGTATGGCGGCTCAGCGTCAGACTTTGTGATATTATATCTCTGGAATGCAAAAGGCACGTTTTATAATCTATTAAATGTATTATATATGTCAGTTGTCCTAGTACGAAGTATAGAGAAAGATTGCTTGTACACATTACTACAAATAAAATTCAATCTCTACACTTAACCCAGAATTCCGAGCGCTATGCACGGCATTGCTTATCACTGCGCAGGCTCAGTATGTTCCCGCGGGTCCACAGTCTGGAACATGTGTAGTCGGAGCGATCATGAGAAGTAGTTGCTCTTTTCTTCGGCTCCACAAAAGGTAAAAATGAGGCGATAGATAATGAGGTTAGACGGAGAGTTTTTCTAAACACTGTGTGGATGTGGCAGACCTCGCATAGAGAAACTATCTGCCTCCGTTCTACAAAACGGGACAAATCGAGGCTCTTCTCAACGGTAGGCCGCGGGTAACGGCCGCCGTCTTTGTCGGAGGCAAAAGACAGCAGGGCGCATGTGAGGTCACCGTGGGCCAGGGGAAAGAATGTTGTGAATGTCTCTCCTGGGCCGACAGGGATGGAGTTTAAAAATTCCTTTTACAGGCACTCGGCGGGGAGCATTTAGAAACAGCAAACTCCAAATCAAAGAAATATTTGCTTCTTCTGAAATCTTGTCCTGGACTGACTGAGATGGCTTTTGTAATTTTTTTTACAGCATGTTAGAAGAGGATTTGCAGATTGGAAACTCAAACCAAATGATACACCAAGATCCAAGTGAGTCACTTTATTCTTTATTCATTCAGTACTGGATATTATTGGTCTTTGAATGAAAGTATTGAGTAAGATAGAAGTAACATAAAATTCCTTCCTTACATCTCCCAGTAACTATTGCCCAATATCTTAAATCTGTGCCTCTCATAGTTTTACTGCAAGTGAAGAGGAACAGCTGCTCTGTATCTACCTTATTTAAGCCTACCATAAACCAAGATACTTTATCAAATTTCAGCTCGATCTCCTTTGCTGTGTGCAGAACAACTTCAACCTGTTTCTCCAATCTGACCTTACAACTAATTTCCCTCAGTTCTTGAACCATTCTGATTCATTTCCTTTCAAGTCTCTCCTCAAACTCTCACACCTTTGTGGACATCACATGTTTGTGCAAATGCAAATGTTCTTGTGTTCAAGTGGGTGGTGTTATGAAATGTGGGCAATTGCTCGGTGACATCACCCTGATTCCTGGGTATTTCCTGAACTGTGAGTTTAGTCTGGCATTTGATTTTAAAGTTGAAAGCAATGAAATTATTTCAATATTTTTAACCAGTCATCTACACAATTTGGCTTCTCATGCTGTTCTCAGTTATCTGACTTATTTTGACATTCCCTCGTTATGTGGTTGCTGTCAAAAGCTCCTTCATTGCACCATCCGTTGTTCTGGTTCATCACTGCTCTCCCAGGTCAGCTCTCTGTCATTGTCTAACCTGCTCTGTCTCCAATAATGGAACTGTCTTAGATATTTTATTGTTACTTCCATTGCCTCTCTAAATGAGGTTTTTACAGCTGAACATTGCCTGACCATTTGTTGCTGGCAATTATCTTCCCTTAGCAGCTCCCACAATGCTGTAGGTAGGGAGTTATTCACCAAGTCACGATGAAGGAGTTGTGATATGTGTCCAAATCAATGGCAATTAATTAGTATCAAATAGTGCCCTTCACATAATGGAAACTTCCAAACTGTTCCTTTGGAGTGTTATGATGCAACTTTTGACCCTAGACACACAGATATTAAGGTGGTGACAAAATGTTTTATGGTCAAATAAGTTGTTTTCAACCAGTATTTTAAAGCGCAAACCTGACTTCGAGAGAGGGAGAGGTTTAGTGAGGGAATTTCAGTTTGTGGTCTTGGCAGCTAAAGGTTGAGGGCACCAAATGTGGGACAGTTAAAATCGAGAATGCTCAGGAGGTTGGAATTGGAGGTAATACAGAAATCTCCAAAGACATTTTTAAACATTCATTCTTGGGGTGAGGGTGAAATTGGCTGGGTTAGCATTTACTGGCCAACCCTAATGGCCCTTGAGAGGGCTGGAGGACATTGCAGAGATAGATTGAGCGGACATGATCAAGAGATTTGAACAGAAGGATGAAAAGTTTTAAAATTTAGCTGTATGAGCACGGTATGGTGGGTGAACCAGAAGTATTCCCACGCAGGCAGCAGAGTTTTGGATGAACTTGGGATTGTGTCACTTGGTGAATAACCTGTAACTCCTTCCAATACAGCAGAGTGGGAGCTCATGTGTGAAGATAAAGTTGCTAAGGCAGCATCGAATGTTTAGGAGAATGGGCAGTGATAAAAACCTGATTTAGATACAGTCAATGAAAGGAACAATAAAACACTGAAGAGAGCTCAAGTACACCCATTAATACAGGCAGAGGAAGTTAGACAAGTGCAGAGAGGGGAATGAGAGGACAGTGGGGAGTGCGTTTGGATAGTTAAGTCCAGAGGGAACAAAGGAGTGGATGAGAGCTTCAGCAGCAGATGATCAGAGATGAGGAGGAGTCGGGTAATGTTACTGAGGTGGAAGTGGGCAGTCTTGGTGATGATGGGGATGTATGATTGAAACACATCTCTGGGTGAAATATTTCACCATGGTTATGACGTGTTTGGTTCAGACTCGGGCAGTTGCCATGTAAGGGTTGGAGTCAGTTGTGAGGCAATGGAGTTTGTGTTGGGGACTGAAGATAAAGGCCTCAGTTTGGCTATTAGTTACTGGGAGGAAATTTCTGCTCCACCAGGACTGGATGTCAGGACGGTGCGTGACCTGGAGGGAACTTGGAGGTTTACGTCAACCTGCTACCCTGCTCCTTCTCGATCGTCGAGGCTGAGTATTTGGAAGATTCTGACAGAGTTCTGAGCAAATTGTAGATGTGTAAAATCCCTCTCCTTCAATCCCTATCTTCACACGGAAGCCAGAGTCTTGTGAGAGATTCTCTCTCAATCTTTTTTTGTTTGATATCAATCTCACAGGATAATAGAGGGGAAGATTTATAAAATAATAACATCGTGATCTGATGGAATCATCCATTTTGTCACAACTAGATCAAATTTTGAACGTGGAAGGGAAATACTCCGTTCACAGTGGAGAGAAACTGTATGTGTGTTGTGTGTGTGGACAAGGCTTTAGCCAATCATCCGACCTCAGAAACTACAAATGCAGCCACACTGGAGAAACTGTGGAGATTGTGGGGATGAATTCATTTCCCCATCTGAGCTGAAAATTCACTGCAGTCACCCCAGTAACAGGCCATTTACCTGCTCAGAATATTGGAAGGGATTCACTCGGTCATCTAACCTGCTGCAAGACCCACTCGTTCACACTGAAGAGAAGCCATTTCAATGCCCTGACTCTGATGAAGGTTCCCGATCCAGAATGTTGACTTTTCTCTTCCTCTGATCCTGCCTGACCTGCTGTGTTCCTCCAGCTCCACACAGTATCGACACTTCTTTGAACATTGTTTGGTATTTTGTTGTTATTTTTGCCAGTTGTGCTGAAATGAGGTTTCCATTCCTGCCCTTCTCTGGCTACATGCTGCTGATTTCTCGGCTTTATCTTGCCATGGCCAGGAATTGTTTGTTCTACACTGGAGATCATTTCTGTTTCTGAGCTAATATTGACTATCAAATACTTATGATGAAAGGATAGCAGAGCAAAATGAATTAGTCTCACTATAACTGGATTCACAACAGTGAAATTTAAAATATTGAATGACCCTCAAAATTGCCCAAATGCTCCTGACCAGACTTTATGGATAACCGATCTTGGACACCAAGTTTCTAGAAAGAAGAAACAACAATACCTGGAGCAAAACAAACATAATCAATTGGGCAGTCTAATCAATATTTATGAATTAAACACAATCTTCTTTTATCATCTCCACTATCACTGATTCACAGACACACATAAGGGATATATCAAACAGAAAATAAAATTAATATAAATTGTCAGTTCAATTAAACAGTTTCAAACAATGGATATCTAGCCTTTGTGCAATGCTTGGATAATGAGTTGTTCACGGACATGTAAAACTTTGTGGAATTTCAAACTCAGCAGTGAATGTAACAGTTTCAGCAAGTTACATAAATATTATCTTATTTCCTATGTTGCATTCCTCAGACCATTCAACAATTTGATAACTGGATATAAATTGAGAGACAGAGCAGCCAGTCCAAAAGCTTCCAAAGTCGCTCTGCTCTTCCGTGACATTCTTGAACTGCTGCAGTCCATCTGCTGATGGTCTTCCCAGATTGCTGTTCGGGTAAGGAGTTTCAGGATTTTCATTCAGTGGTGACAAAGTAGTGCTGATAACTGTGTTTGTTACAATCGTTTTTGTTTTAAGATCCCACTTTTAACAGAATAGAAACATGGAAAATAGGAACAGAAGTAGGCCATTGTGGCATTCGATCTACTCCACTATTCAGTATGATCATTGCTGATGTTTCAACTAGTAGCCTGTTCCCACTTTAGATCCATATCCTTTGATCACTTTAGCCCTCGGAACTATAGCTACATTTTTCCTGGAAACATTCAATGTTTTGGCTTTAACTGCTTTCTGTAGCAGCACATTCCACAAGCTCACCAGTCTCTGAGAAAAGAAATCTTCCCTCATCTCGGTCCTAAACAGCGTACCCTGTATCCTTAAACCATGACCCCCTGGTCCTGGACTTCCTCATAATTAACAGCCTCCTTCCGGAATTTCACTGGTTTCTGTGAGATCTTCAGCATTCCTCTAAACCCCAGTGAATTTCATCCTGTCTGATCCATTCTGTCCTAATACATCAGCCCTGCCCTGCCATCCCAGGAATCAGTCTGGTAAACCTTAATTGGACAGCCTCCATAGCCAGAACATCCTTAGTGACATATATATGTATTCCAAAACTGCACACGATGCTCCAAGTGTGGTCTAACCAAGACCCTATACAATTTCAGCAAGACATCCCTGTTCTGGTTCTCGAATCTTTTCGCTATGAAGGTCAACCTAGCATTTGCCGCCTTCATTTCCAGCCTCTACCTGCATGTTTACTTTGAATGACTTGTGTACAAGGACAAACAGGCCTCCTTTCTCATTTTTCATCTCCCTTTTGTAAATCCATGCTGACTGACTCTGTCCAATCCTGTCACTGTTTTCCCTTGTTGAGATGTCTGGTCTATAAGTCCACACGTTTTCTCTCCACCTTTTTTTTTTTTTTACATCCTGGGCTTAGGTTAGCTCCCCTCCAATCCATGGGAACTGTTCCAGGGTCTATAGCATTATGAAAGATGACAATTAATTCCGTCAATTTAGATTCAAGCCTCTAGTTTCAGAATACATCTTTGTCAAGTACTCTGGGGTGTATATGACCAGGAGCTTGGATTTGTTGGCTTTTAATCCCATCAATTTCCCCAACACCATTTCCTTTACTTGCTGACTCTCGTGTGTTCCCCAGCATTTTAGGGATATTATTTACGTCGTCATTATGACAGAAGCAACTTCCCCTGATAGTAAGGGATTTGTTTTCATTATATTTTTCTCTCTTTTTATATCCCTTTAGGATCTTTTACAATTAGTCTGTATGTTCCCCACAAGCTTACCTTTAGACTTTAATTTCCCTTTCTTAACCAATCCCTTAGTCCTCTTTTGCTGAAACCTGAACTGTTCCCAGACTTCATGTCTGCTGCTCCTCTTAGCCAATTTGTATACCTCTTCCTTGGATCCAGTTCCATCCCTAATATCCCTTGTTAACCATGGCAAGGCCACCCGACTCGTTTTATTTTGTGTCAGATAGGAATAAACAACAGTTGCAGTTCCTCCAAGTGATCTTTAAATGTTTATCATCTCTTTTTAAGTTGATGCTCCCCAAGTTATTGTAGCCTGCGTCACGTCATACCATTGTAACTTCCTCTATTTAGATTTTGACCCCTAGTCTCAGAATCAACTCTGTCACTGTCCATGTTAATGGAGAGTTCTCTCATGAAGAGCTTTTCACTTTTCCTTATGGGGCCTTTCACAGCTAGATTGATAATGAATCCATGCTCAGTACACAATTAAAATTTTTAAATAAAGTTGCCGTAGTCCCAGAAGACCGTAGGACTGTTCTCTCACTTCAGAGTCAGAGACCACTAATGGTGCTTTAACCTCGGGGTTACCACGCCTCAGGCAATGGGCAAAGTTAAGATGGTGGGGCCTTCATGGTGACCTCAGCTGGTACAGAATTTGAGCATGTGCTGCTGGCGTAACTCTGCATCACAAACCAGGTGTCCAACCGACTGAGCTAACCCACCTCTGACCATTACACAATACACCATTGAGGATGGCCTGTCCTCTGTTTGGTACTCAATATATAGATGTAGAAAACCATCTCGTACACAGTCCAGTAATTTCTCGTCTACGGTACTGTTACTGATTTGATTTGCTCAACCTATGTGCAGATTGAAGTCACCGTAATAACAAGATAAAAGAACAGAGTTAGGCTATTTGGCTCATCAAGACTGCTCCACAATTTGATTGTGGATGATATGTTTCTCAACCCCATTCTCCTGCCTTCTCCCACAACCGTTGATCCCTTACCAATCAAGAACCTATCTATCTCTGTCATAAATACACTCAATGACTTGGCCTCTACAGCCCTTTATGACAATGAGTTCCACAGAATAACCACCCTCTGGCTGAAGAAATTCTTCCTCATCTCAGTTCTAAAGGGTCATCCCTTCACTCTGAGGCTGTGTCCTCAGGTTCTAGTCTTTCCTACTAATTGAAACACTTTCTCCCTGTCCAGACCTCTCAGTATTCTGCAAGTTTCAATCACATAGAGTCTGGAAGCACGGAAGCAGACCATCGGTCCATCTAGTCCATGCTGACCATGTTCCAAAACTAATGTCGCCCCATCTGTCTGCACATGGCCCATGTCTCTCCGAACATTTCTTCTTTATGTGTTATCTAAACATCTTTTAAACATTGTAAACTCTACCTGTATCCACCACTTCATTCCACACACGAACCACACTCTGGGGGGGAAAAAAAAAGGTTGATCTTCATGCCTTTTCTCAATCTTTCACCTCTCACCTTAAAAATATGCTCCTAGTCTTGAAATCCCCCGCTCTAGGGAAAAGACACCTGCCATTCACCTTACCTGTACTCCTCAAGGGCAGGACGTAAACAATTAATGTTAGAGCCGTAGGTAGTGTTGTACCTAGGTACCTTTGTACCTGGGATGGTGCCATAAGTGGCTTCTTGTAAACTTTTTCACTGTATCCATGTGACAATAAAGCTAATTCCAGTTGATTAAAAATATGCTCCCCGGTCTTGAAATCCCCACCCCAGAGAAAGGACACCTGCCATTCAACTTACCTATACCCCTCAGGATTTCTCAAACCTTTATAAGGTCAACCTCAGTGTGCTACACTCCTTTGAAAGGAGCCCCAGCCTCTCCTTATGACTCAATCCCTCCATTCTCGGCAACATCCTGGTAAATCTCATTTGAACTCTCTCCAGAAGTGGCCTCACCAATGTCCTGTACAACCTCAACATGACGTCCCAACTTCTGTACATGGCGGTCTGAGCAATGAAGGTAAGCATACTAAATACCTTCTCAACGACCCTGTCTATATGTGACGCAAATTTAAAAGAATTAGGTCACTGAAACCTGAAGTCTCTCTGTTCTACAATACCCAAGCCCCTACTTTTAATTGTGTAAGTCCTACCTCCTTTGTTTGTTTTACCACAATGCAGTCCCTCACATTTATTCAAATTAAACTCCATTTGCCACTCCTCAGCCATTGACCTAATTGATCAAGATCTCTTTGAAATCTTAGATAACTTTCTTCACTGTCTACAACAGCATTAATTTTGGTGTCATCGGCAAAGTTACTAACCATGTCTTCTGTATTCTCATCTAAATCATTTATATAAATGTCAAACAAAAGTGGACCCAACACCGATCCCTGCGGAACACCACTGGTCACCGCTGAACACCAGGCCTTCAGTCCGAAAAACAACCCTCCACTTCTACAGCCTGTCTGCTGACGTTAAGCAAATTTTGTATCCAGTTGGCAAGCTCACCCTGGATCCCATGTAAGCTAGCTTTACTAATTAGTCCACCATATGAAACCTTGTCAAGGGCTTTACTAAAGTTTACTGCTCTACCCTCATCAATCATCTTGGTTACTTCATCAAAAATCTCAATCAAATTTGTGAGACATGATTTCCCTCGCATAAAACCATGCCGATTATCCATAATCATTCCTTGCCTCTGTAATTTTTGATAGCTTTCCTTGCTATCAACAATACCTTCTAATTTTGTATCATCTGCAAGCTTACTAATCATGCCTTGTACATTCACATGCAGATCACTTATGTAAATAACAAAGGTCCTCGCACCGACCCCAGTGGCACACCACTAATCACAGGCGTCCACTCCGCGAAACAGCCTTCAAACATCACCCACTGCTTCCTACAATTGAGCCAATTTTGAATCAAATTAGCTCGCTGTCCCTGGATCTCATGCGACCTTACCTTCATGGCTAGCCTGCCGTGAGGGACCTTGTCAAATGTTTACTAAAGTACATATAGACAACATCCACTGCCCCACTCTCATTCATGCTCTTGGTTATCTCTTAGAAAAACTCTGAAAGATTTGTCAGGCATGACTTCCCGTGCACAAATCCATAGTGACTATCGTTAATCAGACCTTGACTATCCAAATGTTGGTCGATCTTGTCCCTCAGTATCCTCTCCAGTAACTTGTCTCCCACCGCTGTCAGGTTCACTGGCCTGTAGTTCCCTGGCTTGTCTTTGCTACCTTTCTTAAACAATGCGACAACGGTAGCCACCCTCCAGTATTCCAGAATTTCCCCAGTGGCTAAAGATGAAGCAAAAATCTCTCCAAGGGCATCAGCAATTTCTTCTGTAGTCTGCCGCAATATCAGAGGATGTACTTGATCCGGCCCAGGGGATTTATCCACTTGAATGCTGCAAACACCTCCTCTCTGGTAACATGTATGCAGTCCAAAACACCCCTACTTTTTTTCGTCATTTCCTTAGCATCCACAATTCTCTCCTTAATAAACACTGAGGAGAAATACTCATTAAAAATCTCCCCCATCTCAGGATATCCATCTTTATATTTTTGAAGACATCCATGTGAACTGTCTTCAACACACATTATTTCTTTCTGTGAATTCTCTAGCCTCTGTTTCTTTCTGCACAGTAAAAAACTGATGCAAAATAATATTCCTTTAATATCTCTCTCATTTCCGGAGGTTCAACACAAAGATGACCTCTTTCATCTTTACTGGGCCCTGCTCGCGCTCTAGTTGCTCTCTTGCTCTTAATACACTTGTAGAATCTCTTTGGATTATCCTTACCCTTATCTATCAAGGCAATTTCATATCCCCTCTTTGCCTTCATGATCTCCTGCTTAAGAATGCCCCTACACTGTTTACATTCTTCAAGAGATTCATTTGAACCCAGTTGTTTATATCTAATGTATGATTTTTTTATTGTTGGCAAAACCTGATTATATTTATTCATCCATTTGTCTCTAATCATACCAGCCTTACCTTTCACTCTAACATGATCATAATGACTCTGAACTCTTGTTATCACACTTTTGAAAGCCTCCCAAGTATCAGACGTCCCTTTACCTGCAGTCTACTCCAATCAACTTTTGGAAGTTCTTGTCTCGTACCGTTAAAATTTGCGTTACTCCAATTATAAACTTCTAACTTTTATGGAAGGATTATCCTTTTTCCATAACTGTTTTAAAACTGATAGAATTGTTACCTGTAGACCCACCAGGCACGGTAGCTCAGTGGTTAGCACTGTTGCTTCTCGGCGCCAGACACCCGAGTTCAATTCCACCCATGCGCAACTGTCTGTGTGGAGTTTGCACATTCTTCCCATATCTGCGTGGGTTTCCTCGGGGTGCTCTGGTTTGCTCCCACAGTCCAAAGACATGCAGGCTATGTGGATTGGTCATGCTAAATTGTCTGTAATATTCAGGCAATGTGTAGATTAGGTGGGTTATCGGGGGATGGGTCTGTGTGAGATATTCTGAGGGTCAGTGTGAGCTTGTTGGGCTGAAGGGCCTTTTCAGGAATCTAAGATTAACGTAGAGAAAGTGTTTCTGTACAGTCACTCCCTCTGCCTTACTACCCAAGAGAAGCTCAAGTTTTTTTTTCTCTTTCTTTGGTAGGAACGTTGACTTATTGACAAAGTTTTCTTGAACACATTTAACAAATTACTCACCATTCAAACCTTTAACACAATGGCAGTCCCAGTCAATGTTTAGAAAATGAAAATCACTGACTATTATAACCTTATTATTCTTAAATATATCTGAGATCTCTCTACATATTTGTTCCTCAATTTCTCTCTGACTGTTAGGAGGCCTACAGCACAACCCCATTAGATGATCGTTCCTTTCTTATTTTTGATTTCAACATATGCTTTCACTAGATGATTTTTCAGAAACATCTCTTCTAGTTATAGCAGCAATGTTCTCCTTAATTAAAAAAAAAAAAAGCCACTCCCTCACCTCCGTTGCCTCCCTTTCTATCCTTCCTACGGCTTCTGAAATCCAGGACGTTATTACAGGCAGAATATCTTGCAGGTGGTGTATGATGTGGGGAAAATGTAAAATCATTCACTTTGGCAAAAAGAATAAATAGGAGCAAAATATTCTTTAAATGGTGAATGACTGCAGAATTCTGAAGTGCAGAAAGATTTAGAGTTTATAAAGTATGACTTTCAAAGTTAGTGTGCAGATATAGCATGTTATCAGAAGGTCATACAGCATGGAAACAGACCCATCAGTACAACTAGTCCATGCTGACCACGTTCCCAAACTAAACTAGTCCCATCTTCCTGCGTTTGGTCCATATCGCTCCAAACCTTTCAAATTCGTGTACTTATCTAAATGTGTTTTAAACATTGTAACTGTACCTGCATCCACTACTTCCTCTGGTAGTTCATTCCACAGACCGAGCGCACTCTATGTAAAACAAAAAGTTGTCCCTCATGTCCTTTTTTTAAATCTTTCTCCTCTTATCTTAAAAATATGCCCCCTGGTTTTGAACTTCCCCACCTGAGGGAAAAGACCTTTGATATTCCTTATCTGTGTCTCTCATAATTTTATAAAGCTATACAAGGTCATCCCTCAACCTCTTACCTTCCAGTGAAAGAAGTCCCAGCCTATCCAGCTTATTTTATAACCCAAACCCTCTATTCCTGGCAATATCCTGGTAAGTTGTTTTTTCTGAACCCGCTCCAGTTTAATAATATCCTTCCTTTGACAGGACGATCAGACGGCACACAGTTCTCCAAAAGGGGACATACCAACATAACATCCCAACTCCTGTACTCAAAGGCCTGAGCAACGAAGACAAATGTGCTAAATGCTGCCTTAACCACCCTGTCTGTCTGTGATGCAAGTTTCAAAGAATGATGTACCTGAAACCCTAGGTCTCTCTGTTCTACAACACTACCCCGAGCCCTACCATTAATTGTGTAAGTCCTGCCCTTGTGAAGTATTGCATTTTGGTAAAGCAAACATTTAACCAAGTAAAATTCAGTCTGCCATTTCTCAGCTCATTGACCCAATTGATCAAGCTCTCTGTAATCCAGAAAGCCACTTATCCCTTATTATGACAGCAAATAATCATCAATGAAAGGACGTTCTGCTTCATTTGTACAAGGAAGGGGTGAGACCAAATCTCGAACACCGTGTACAGGTCTTGGTCTTATGTATGTTTATGTGAAGTGTTTCAGAGGAAGTTTACTAGACTGAAACCTGGAATAAGTGGGTTGTCTGAGGAGGATAGGTTGGGCAGGCAAAAAGGAAAAGGATTAGTCAAGAACTGCTGATTAAAACAGCAAAGTAATAGGGTGTGGTGAAGTAGAATCTGTATGGATTGAGCTTAGAAACACCAATGGACAGAAAATGATTAGTGTTGCATAGAGACCCCAAGCTGCAGTAATATTGGGGAAGGCATTGCGATGGATTTAGAGATACAAGGCATAAAGTTATGGGTGACTTCAACCGACATACAAATTGCGCAAATCACATCAGTCGCAATACAATAGGGGAGGAATTCTTAGCGTCCATATGGTACAACTTTATGAATCAGTATGTTGAAGAAGCAGATGGGTAATGGGAAAGGAATCATTGGCAATCAGGTTGAGCATGGGCCCTTAAGGAAGAGTGATCACAAAAGGATAGAATTCTTCATTAAGACGGAGAGCGATATTGTTGTTTCTGAGACTAGGGTCCTGTAAGTAAATGAAAGAAGTTAGAATGGTATTAGGCATGAGCTAGTTGTGATAAATTGTGGATCAGTATTTAAATGGATGATGGGAGCTGGGTAATGGGAAAAATCGAAAGAGGGCATGGACAAGCTATTCAACCCAGTCTGGCATAAGAACAAAATGGGAAACATGGTCAAACTATGGCAGAGAAAGGGAAATGAATGGTTATTAAATTTTAAGGAAGCAGCATCAAATTAGCTAGGTAAAACAACAACTGAGGATTGGGAACAGTTTAGATTTCAGCAAAGGAAGACAAAGGGATTTAGTAAGAGAGAGAAAATAGAGTAGAGAGTATGCTTGTAGGGGCCATACAAATCAATAGCATTTTGTTTTCATTCATTCGTTCACAGCATGTGGGCGTCACTGGCTCAGCCAGAATTTATTGCCTGTTCGTGATTGCCCAGACGTTGTCAAGAGTCAACTGCAGTGCTGTGGGGCTGGAGTCACACATAGGCCAGACCAGGTAAGGATGACAGTTTCTTTCCCGGAAGGATATTAGTGAGCCAGATGGGTTTTTCCTGATGATCAACAACAGTTTCATGATTATCATTAGACTCTTAATTGAAAGTTGACAGTAAAAGATTAGTCAAGAAGAATATAGGGTCTCCTTCCAATCGGAAGCAGGGAATTTATAATGGGGTGCAAAGTGATGGCAGACCAACTAAATATGTCTGAGATTTTCAAAAAGGAGTACACAAATAATGTCCCAAGATTAAGGGGATCACAGGGTCTAATGGGAAGGTGGAATTGAAAGAAAGTAGCATTAGTAGGAAAATGATATTGGGAAAACTAACAGGATAACAGGCAGATAAATCCCCAGAGATTGATACCCTTTGTCTCAGAGTACCTTAGGAAGTGGCCCGAGAAATAGCAGATGCGTTAGTGGTTATCCTCAAATTCTACAGACTCTCAAAGAGTTCCTATGGATTGTAAGGTAGCTAACATGACCCCAGTATTTAAGATGGGAGTCCGAGAGAAAACAGGGAATTTGCATAGCATTGGTAGTGGGGAAAAAACGTTAGGGTCCACTCTGAAAGGTGGAATAACAGTACTTGGGATGTAGTGATAAGATCAGACAGAGTCAGCAGAGCCTTTTTCTGTGCCGTAGATCTCTAAGACTCTGTTGGGCATGAAGTCCCTCCACGCCATTCACCATCCTGACTTGGAAATATATTGCTATTCCTTCAGCTGGGTGAAAATCCTGAATTCCCTCCCTACCAGCATTGTGGGTGCACCTCCAGCTCATGGACTGCAGTGGTACACGAAGGCAGATCTCTACCACCTTCTCAATGGCAACTATGCTCAGCAAAGCCCACAGGAATTAAAGCAAAGCATTATGAGGCCAAGTGGGAATCTGGAATTGAAGCCTTTTTGAGGCTTGAGGGACAGAATGGACTACACTCATTCCTATTTCGAATGCTCTCTCATCCTTCTATCAAAATGCATCACCTCATCAGGAATGGTGTATTCCCTGGAATTTAGAAGGATGAGGGCTGATTTGATTAAAATTTTCCAGATGTTAATTGAAGCTGGTCGGGGGATAGAGAGGAACTAATCCACTGGGTAGGTGAAGTGGGAGCTCAAACACCCTCCTCATGCCCAGTAACCAGACAAGTTTCTTTGTTTTCTGGTTTATTTGAGCATGAGGAACAAGAGTAGGCCACTCAGTCCTTCGAGCCTGCTGTGCGACTCAATAGATCACGGCTGATCTGATTTCAACCTCAGCTGTATATGCCTGCATATCCCTGGCCATCTTTCATCATCTTTGATCATCAAGAATCTGTCTGCCGCTGACTTAAAAAAAAAAATTAAAGATTCTGCATCCACTGCCTTTTGACGAAGGGAATTACAAAGATTCTCAAACCTTTGAGAGAAATGTTCCTCACCATTTTCAAAAGGGTTCACCCTTTTTTCACCCCTTTAAACAATGACCCTCAGTTCTAGATTCTCCCACAAGAGGGACCATGTTTTCAACATCCACCTGGTCAGGTCCCCTCAGTATCTTTTATGTTTCAATTTAGTCTCCTCTTTCTTTTCTAAACTCCAGAGGATACAGGCCTAGCCTGTCTAGATTTTCCTCTCAGGCAATCCACTCATTCCCGGTATTAGTCCATTAAATCTTCTCTGAAATGCTTCCAATGTATTAACAACCTTCTATAAGTGCAGTGACCAGAATTGAACACAGTACTCCAGATGCAAGTCTCATAAGCACAAAGGGGGGACTTCATGAATCTGAAGGTGGTCCATGAATTCCCACGTGCTTACAATAATGATTTTTCAGCAAGCTTAGCTCACTTACATTTATGTAATTACAGACTGACACAGGTTATGGTCAGATAGTTGTACAGTCAGATAGTTTGTTACTCACACAGCATTGTTGTGGTATCACTCGAACCTCCCATTCTGCTGAATCAGCAGAAATAATGACTGGCCCTGCAGCCAGTTCCCGCAACCTGATTTGTCCTGTATTTTTCATCTTCCGTCCTTTCAAGGACATTAATGCTCGAGGTGGGATTTTATGACAATCGAAGCTTTCATTCTACTTTTGACTGTTCTAAATTTATTTTCCAGGGAATTGGAAAGGGAGAGTTTACACACAGGCAGCTCAAGTTAAACATTGGATTAAAAACTGCCTGGAACACTCTATTCTCAGGAGCTTTGAACATGGAAGGAAAAAACATCGTTTACAGTGAAGAGAAACCATACATGTGGTCTGTGTGGACAAGCCTTCAGTCAATCGTCTGGCCTGTCGATACATAAATGCAGTCAAAACAGGGTGACATCAATGAAATCAAGCAGCACTTGCTTTGTAATATCATGGTCATGGATCTCAGTTTGAGTCAAACAAGGGCCTCTCGGCTCCTGATCTCCTTACATTTTTGATGCAAACGTGCACCAAACAGCTAAATTCCAAATATGAGAAATGAATCCACTATCTTAAGGCTCCATTTGACGGAGCATTGTGTCAAGGGATCATAGCAAAGCTAAAGTCAATGGGAATCGGAGAATGTTATTCTCCCTTTGATAGCCGGTTTTTGAAAAGATTGCGTCTTCAGACTTGAGTAAATCGAAGCAAGGTGAATTCATTCAAACTTTTGCCACATACATGCAGAAGCAGTCTCCAAGTCGAGCTGGAGACATTCAACCGTTTACAGCTCAAAACAGCATATTAAGACATTTACATGTCAGAATGGTTACATGTAACATTGCTATAAAATAAATTATATGTCAATCATTAACCTCAAAAACAGGATGCTGTGGAGTTTCTTACGAAGTTCTGGGTCCTCTAATTTCAACAGAACTTCCACTTCCACATTATCTTCCGAGGTGCTCTATCCCCACCATTAGCTCACAGCACGCAAGCCTTTCCTTATGAGTAATACTTACATGACTATCTTAAGCTATACAGATGGTCTCTGAACCCGAAGTAACTGCTGACTGTTCACTGTTATGGAAATGCAGTTAAACTGCCTGAGCCACAATGACTATGGCGTGAGATGTTGTATTTGACTCTTGGCCCTGTGCTGAGCTTCTTGTCCAAGCTTATTCCTACTTGTTCTGTGTTTTAATGTTCCATTCCTTTCCTCTTATATGCCCCTTGTAAACTCTCCTTTCCTCTGTATCCTATTTCGTCTTGGTTGGATAATACTGAATGCAGAGGAAGGTGCTTGTGATTGCAGGAGTCCTGGTTTCTCTGTGGTGTGGGTGTCCTTGTCTATCCAGATTGGGCGATCAGGTGAATTTGAGTCCATGCAGATAGAAGGCCCAATTTTCCCCGTTGTGAATGTGTTTTTATTCTTCCACAGGATGTGGGTATCACTGGTCAGGACAGCATTTGTTGCTTATTCCGAATTCACCTTGAACTGATGGCAGAGGACAATTAGGGGTCAAACACGTTTTTGTGGGTCTGGAGACACTTGTATGCCAAACTGGATGAGGATTTTCCTCCTGAAGGGACATTAATGAATCGGATTTCAGGAAATTAAAGTCATGGTCTCTGTTTCTGAAATCAGGTTTACACTCCAGATTTTATTAATCGAATTTACACTCCAGCAGCTGCCGAGTCTCAGTCTCCAGGGATTGCTAGGATATTTATCGCCACTGTATCACCATCTTCCTGTTGCATTGCCTTATTGTAGAGAATAACTTTCACTGTTCAGATCATCCCAGAGTGACAGAGAGCAGGAGAAGGCCATTCGGACCATCAATTCCAGATCGTTAACTCCTGGTGACAAAGTGATTGAATGAGAGGGAAAAGTATTAGCTGGTGTGTGTTTGCAACATGAACAGTCTATGTCCATGTCGGGATAAATATGGTTTAATGCAGATTGAAGCGTTTACTGGGAGCAAGAAGCTGATGCAGAGACAATGTGAGCAAAATTAGCTTAGCTGCTACTACTAAGGTAGCAACTATCAGCTTGTTGGTGTAAACAGGAGAGGATGGTTTCAATCCAGTAACCTCTGGGTGATGGGCCCAGCACGCTCCCACTATGCCACGCTGCCATTTCCTACCAGGTAACCCACAATTGATATACATTGTTACTTCTTTCTTGCTTTTGAATGAGAACACACTTATTGACAGGCTCTCCTGGCTATACAATTCCACTGTGTCACATCACTCAGAATGTGACAGCCAGAAACACACGCACACACAGCAATGCACCATTAACATACACTCAATATCGAAGGCGCCAAACAGACCACCAACTCACTCAGACGGACAGACCTGAACTTGACAATTTATTTGACAAATCAACAGTTACATTCCTCATTCTGAAGAGCTCTGTAGAAGGATCTCTGACCCGGGAACGGTAACCCTGCTTTCCCTCCACAGATCCTGTCAGACCTACTGCGTTTAATCAGCAATTTCTGTTTTTGTTACATTCCTCATTGTTGTTTGTCTGTGGGTTGTAACATTCCCTAGATTGGGTACAATGACATTCAAAATCATCTGAACGTTATCATTCCTCATTCTCTCTTTATCATCCTTTACTTGCCCTTCTGCCTTCCAAAATCGCACCCCACAGCTTGTAGATTTTTTCACTTCTCCCTATAGCATCAAACACGTGAAATTTCGCCTGGTTCTGATGAAAAGGTCCTGGATATGAAATAAGAATCCAGTTTTAAAAAACAGAGATAAACATAAAAAGGGCGAATTTAACAGGTAGAGGAAGTCTGTAGGGAGATGGGGGAGCATTTGTGTGTTGTTCTTTGCACATCTCACCTCGGTTCAGCATTCTGAGGGTTTCCACGCATTTTTCATTTCGCACATATTACTGCAGAGAGTTTTGCAGCCTCATATTAAAACCATCGATTTTAGGAACAGAAAGAGACCATTCAGACTATCAAGTCTTCTCCGCCATTCAATGAGCTTTTGTCTGATCTGATAATCCTGAACTACACTTTGTTGCCTTTCCCTATAACCCTCGATACCTTTACTGGTTAAAGATCTGTCGATCTCAGTCTTAAATATACTTAATGGCCCAGCCACAACTAACCTCTGCTGTAAAGAATTCCACCAATTCACAACCATATGAGAGAATAATTTCTTCTTCATCTCTGGTTTAAATGCGTAACCCCATTCTGATATGAGGTACTCTGGTCCGAGATCGTCCTAGAGGGGAACAACCTTTCTGAATCCAACCCGTTAATTCTCCAAAAAACTTGTATGTTTCAATAAGAAGCAAGTTCTTTTTTGTAGTACAGTGTCTGAGCAGACAAAGGCAATGAATTTCAGGGCTTCCTTCCATTTGGTTTTATCTCTGATGTGAAACTGTCACTGACTTTGACAGATCTCTCTTTGCTGTTTTACTGTCAGGAATTTGTGTTCATTTTAAGATTTTGTACATGAGCTACAAATCCTCATTCCTTGACTGGAAACCAAACTCAGGGAACAGCAGTGAGAGGTCTGAATCCCAACTACTAAAGCACCAAGGAAGGTGCATGCAATGCTTGCAACCTTTCTTGTTGACATTGCTTTTTTGCCTTTTTATTATTCAGTTGAAAAATGATAGAGTAACTGAGTTTTTAGCAGCATGGAGAGAGGCTCTTTGGCCCATTACATCATTGTCAGTCATCAAACATCTCGCTTCTAAACCCAGTTTCCAGTACTTGACCCAAGTGCCCATCTTAATAATTATTCCATGTCTTGAGGGCTTCAGTGGAACAAAAACAGCTCTTTAAAACAATGACAGGAAAAATTGTGGTTTGCTGGAACACAAAATGTATACCTTTCTCCTTGAAGACAGTTCTGAAAGCCAAAATCTTTCTCGGAGAATTTGTCAGTTTTCCTCTTATTGCCAACAGCGTGGGTTTAAATCTCACACCGTCTGAAGTTACCGCTAACGACTCTTTTTCAATCTCTCTGTTCATCTGAGGTGTGGTGTCCCTCGGGTTAAACCATCACCAGTTGTCTCTTTCTGAAAAGAAAGCAGCCTTGTAGTTCAGATGGAGTATGGCCTGACCCTACCCTTTAATATGCAGTTCAGTGTCAGTCTTTGTTATATCCCTGGGATGCACAAGTGACGCTTTATTCTTTCTTATATGTACTGTGCATATTAGTGGTCCACAGGAGACAAATACAGAGATTGCTTATACGCATAGAAACAGATAAATTTAAATTTGACAATGGCTGCCAGGTAACCTAGAATGCCGAATGATAGTGAACATTTCCTATACACAGAATTGCTCATCATACGTCTGTTCAGTATTTTCCCCACCTACCCACGGTATGGAGCATGCACAGTGGTAAATATGACAGACCCCGTATGAAAAATCTATGCGGCCCCATTTCATAAAACGGGACAAATCGATATGCGACATGCCCTGGTGTTGGCTGCCACCTTTGGAGGAGGCAAAGAGAAGCATGGTGCATGTGCGGTTATTCTGGGCCAGGAGAGAGCATGTTATAACTGTCTCTCCTGACCAACAGGGATGGAGTTTATAAAGTTCTTTTACTGGGAGTAAGGAGAGGAGGACTTATACACAGTAACTCCAAATGTCAGAAATATTTGCTTCTTCTGACATTTTGTCCCGTACTGACTGAGGACAGCTTTTGTAAATTCTTTTTACGGCATGTTAGAAAAGGATTTGCAGATCAGAAACTCAAAACCAAATGACACAGCAAGATCTTAGCATGCCACTTTATTCTTTATTCATTCAGCACTGGATATTATTGGCTTTGAATGTAAGTACTGAGTCAAATAAAAGTAATATAAAGTTCCTTCCTTACATCTCCCAGTAACTATTGCCCAATATCTTAAATCTGTGTCTCTAATAATTTTACTATCAGTGAAGAGGAACAGCTGCTCTTTAACTATCTTATCTAAATCTATCATAAACCTAGACACCTTTGTCAAAGATCACCCCAGTCTCCTTTGCTTTGTGCAGAACAACTTCAGTTTCTCCAACCTGACCTTACAACTATTATCCCTCAGTTCTTGAACCATTCTGATCAATCTCCTTTCAATCAGTCCACAGACCCTCACATCCTTCAGGAAGATCAACTTTTTGTGCTAACCCGAATGCTCTATGTTGAAGTCGGTGATGTTATCACACACGGGCAATTGCTCAGTGACATCTCCCTGATTCCCGGGTATTTCCGGAACTGTGGGTTTCCTCTGACACCAGTGCTTCTGATATCTTTTGAGCTGCAGACTCCAGCATTCGATTTTAAAGTTGAAGACAATAAAATTATTTCAGTATCTTTAACTAGTAATGTACAAATTTTGCTTCACGTGCTGTTCTCAGTCAGCTGACTCTGGTGTTGGTGCAACCCATTTCGTAACTCACCTAATATCTCATTATGTGACTGGTATCAAAAGTTGCGTTGGAAAAGTCCTGAATCAGTGATCATCCGTTGTTCTGGTTCATCTCTGCTCTCCCGGATCAACTCTCTGTCATTCTCTAACCTCCTCTGTCTCCAATAATGGGTATAACCGAGTTATTTTATTCAGAAAATCTGAAGAAGGGTCCCAACTCGAAACGTCAGCTTTACTGCTCCTCCGATGCTGCCCAGTCTGCTGTGTTCCTCCAGCTCCACACTGTGTTATCGCTGACTCCAGCATCGGAAGTTCTTACTATCTCTGAGTAGGTATTTTATTGTTACTGCCATTGACTCTCTAAATTAGGTTTCTACAGCTGAACATCGCCTGACCCTTTGCTGCTGGCAATTATCTTCCCTTAGTAGCTCCCACAATGCTGTTGGGTAAGGAGTTATTCACCAAGTGATGATGAAGGGATTGTGATA